AATATGTAGAGGTATTACATTTTTCCCCCTCCATTATTCTGCCAAGGAAACTCTAACAAATCCTTCTCTTTCGCAGGATTTTTTTGGCTGGCCATTGTACCCAAACTACTGCATGAGTATATATATTCTTATGATGTTCTGGACTTAGTACCAGTGTCATAGGTGAGGAACTGTGGCTGAGAGAAAGCAAGTTACATGCTTAAGTCAGGTAGGGACACTGCCAGGGCTGGAAATGAAGCCCCAGAGTACTGAACTCTGCTTCCATGCCCTCGTTACAAAGGCAACACTTTTTCTGTGCTCAAAATTAACAGGACTGATTAATCTTCTGAAGGAAGCTTTTTCAAATGTAGCTGACCACTCTGATGTATTCTAAAGTCCCTAAAAAACGCCTGTTTAGCAGAAACCGCTTTTTTTTTAAAGAAAAAAAAACAAACCAGTGTGAATGAATCTTCTTCCAGAAGAGATCTCTTAGCAGGATCAAAAAACAAAGAAATAAATTATCTCCTTTAGATGCTGAGAGAAATGGTCATTGACTGTGGTGTCAGTCCCTGAGCAAGCCACCCCCCAAAAACCAGGCTGTGAGTGCTTACTGTCCACCAGGCTATTGGGCTGGCTGCTGGCTGTCAAATCCCTTTGCTTCAGTAAACTGACATCTTGTTTTCTGTCCTCCTGTAAGTCTCCTGAAGTGGCCCTATGTCCACAGCTAATAGTTTGATTAATATGACTCATGAGACACCCTGCATGGATCTGGGTGGGCTTGAAGGGCCGGGACTGGTGGAGGGCTTCATCTGGAACAGGGCACTGAGCCTACGTGATTCTCATCAAGGGATGATGTCAGATGGAGTTATACGTCTACAAGGATGATGTCAGATGAGGTTATATATCTACAAAGGCTCTTCACTTTAATGCCTGTTTGCTGAATAACTCTTCTTTGAGCTCTGCAGGACAGCTCTGACTTTGCATATGACACTAAAAATTTAATCATATATGAAAGAAACATAATCTGTCAATGCATCGCACTAGAGATGGATTGATGGCAGTTGCTTTTGTTCTATTTAAAATAGCCTCCGCACACAACTGTACGTCTGGAAAATTGGAGCATCATTTTGGTAGGTACGTGTGACATTTTATCTTTGCAAGAATGATATATCATAAATGAAACCTGAGCTGGACTTTCTTTTTATTCCTCCACATTGTTCCAGGTACCTGCTAATACCTCCCATAATTGCTAATGGTTCTGTGGGTTGAAAATGGCTACAGAGCCTATCAGAAGCTGTAAGAGGACAGGGAATCCATGCTGGAAGGCAAGATCTGAATCTTTCCAACTCTGCGGCAGCTCTGATCCAATTCTCAACTTCCTGGCCTCAGACCAAGGATTAGTTTGTTCTTTTTTTTGCATAAAGTACTATTGTAAGACTGCCCAGAACATAAACGTATAACTTTTCACTAAAAAAAAAAATCCTCCTCCTCAGCTGCAGTTAGCCAGTATGTGTATCCTTAAACTGAAAGGGAGCATCTTCCAGCTGGAGGGTGGCCTGTGATGATGGAGTGTTATTCTGTACTAGCTTGTACTGCTCTCTGCTTGAAGGTTTATTTGAGCAAAATTTTACTGGCTTGATGTGTAGGAAAAGTAGGGACAACATACTACCAAAATAATTCCTGTATCAGTACAACTTGTCTCTCTGCAGGAAGGTTTTCTGAGTAAAACTCCAGTGTTTTCTCTCTGGGATGTGTTTCCCTTAGGAGCCATCAAGAATGAAATATCCATCGAAAATCTTTTAGTTACTATTTTGGAACAGAAATGTTTCAGACAAAGCAGATGAGCCTAATCTGTATCCCTGGAAGGTATGGCCCCCTCAGGTTGCCGTGTGTGTAACGGATCCAACCAAGCAATGGCTTTTCGCCTCTGCTGCTCTCGTGAGGCAATTCCACAACCCCCTGCCTGTGACAGTTACACGTCTTCTCGCTTACTCATGGCAATTTAGGCCAATGTGTTTTATTGCGAGCATCAGCCTTTACCAATACGTTAAGAGGGGAAGGAGTGCCTGAAACTAGACAGCAGTCAAATTTTCCCCTTCACTGTCATTTAAACAAGTGAAGTCCTTTCAGTCTCTTATCATACTATGGGTTAGCTATACCTGTGATCATCCCTCGAGTCCTTTTCTGCATCTCTTTAAGGACATAGAATCTGTTTGGCCAGAACTGTACAGGAGGGATCGTGTTTGGGTCTGGTACAAGGGCTTATGTCTGCCTTCACTTCGAATGCAGACCATGACTGCAGTTTTCTTTTTGCACTGGTGTCACACAATTGTCCTGCTAAGGTCTTGTATACTCAGGTCTCCCTCCTCTGCTCTTATTAAATGATGAGCTCCCTGATTAAATACAAATTTATTGTCTCTGTATAAATGTCTATGTGCTTTTGGGCTGTTAGGTTTCATCAAGAGCTTAGAGCAAAACCAAGTCTACTTGTGCTTTCCTAAGGTTGTCTGTCCCCTGGAATTTGGAGAAGGCACTTCTGCAGGACCCAGCTCTCCCTGCTTACGCTGTGATGGTCGCTTTTCTCCTGGCTGGGTTTTATGACACTGTTCTCTTGATCTTCTTTCTGGTCAGCTGAAGTTAGTTTTGCATCTGACAGAAGTAACATTGAAGAACCTTTAAGCTGGCTCTTATGCCGTTACCTTCTGTTTGTGAGAGGCAAGTTGCTTAGACCTGTTGTGTTGCTCTCCCACTCTTTCTTTCAGACAGGCCCCTGATTTATTTAGATTAGTACACACATAAAAGAAACGTTAACGTAACCACTGTTATTACAAATTACTTTGTCCAGACACCAGCCATTACAAAATTTACCCCGCTGCTATTTACTGCCCTAGTGCTGCTGGCTCCTGCCCATGTTTAACTCTTGGTCACTTGACAAAAGAATTTCCCTCCCAGAGTGCCCACTCTAAAGAATTTGCTGTGACTACTCAGTGCCTTGCTTGTCCTAGAAGTCTCCAGAGGAAACAGTATCTCAGTTTTTTGATGTTTGAAGCTAGAGACCTCTTTTTCTCTCTCAGTCAGTGCAAGATAAAAGTAAGTAAAGAAGTAAAGGATAAAAATCTGCTTTTCCTCACTGCAGGTCACTGCTATCAGATCTTTGCATCGCCTGTGCAGTACAATGGCAGGGGCACTGGATCATCCTTACACAGGAGCTCTGTAGCTTTTCACTGCGCATTTATAAATTAAGGTGATGCTGTTGGGTCCAGAAACCTTTTTACCCTTTGGCAACATAATTCCAGGGAAACTTTTCCCTCTTCTGCTTATGAGTAGTATTTTCTTCTCAGTGCAGTGTGTGGAAAGGTCATTACAGCATTAATGCTTCTCTCCTGCAATGCAGTGTTGCATTCAAGAGTTGGGGCTGCTCTGCCCTGTTCTCCACCCTCTCCCTAATGTCACTCTGAGATGGGCTTCGATGCTGCTTGGGACAGGTCCTGCCTGGGATCAAAAGGCCGGTCAAAGCCAGGGTCAGGGAAAATAACAAAGCATTGAGTTTGCTGTCTGACTCATCTAGTGATCAATAGTGACTTTTATCAGGGACCTGCACCTATAATTTCTCTAATACTAAATGTGGTCTGTGAGCTCGAGACGGGCTGTCTGCGTTTCCCCTATTTAAGATGCTTTGCAAGTGCCTGTGACCATATAAAGCTACGTGAGCCTGTGCCCAGTGCTGTGATCTAGCCTATGACATGTCCCAGGTTTCTAATCTCCGGGAATGAGAAAGGACCATGTGTCTGCAGTGTGTCACTTCCGAATAACTGCATTGGGAAGGGATGATGTTTAGCAATTGTAGCATCAGAAGCGATACACATAGGATGGCACAGGTTAAAACAGGAGCAGATGCCTCCCAGCATGTATGTGTCTGTATTGGTTATATGATACCCTCAAACTCCAGATGCTTTACCAGGCACAATGCAGGCACTTCTCCCCAAAATCCTAATCCTTCCGGGAAGGCAGGAGGCAGGAGAGAACAATATGATGCTAATGTGCTTTCCTGTGGGCATTACAAAAGATGGGTTCTTTTGGAGGACTGCGTTTGTATCTCTGCAGGGAGGGAGGGTTTCGAGAGAGGAACAAGGACGTAAGGAACCAGAATAAAAAGCTTGTTGTGGGAGTACTAAACAGAAGATGGAGACTCACTTGAGCTGAGTCACGTATTCTTAAGTCGCTGTGCTGTGGCCAAGAAGGAGCTGGTACCTAAGAGGCAGGGCAGCGGCTGTGCTTGCCGTATCTCCAAGATGCAGAAAGGCACGGAGGCAGGCAGAATTTTGTGCTCCAACTTTGATCAGCAATGGCCCTTTAAGGCTGCGCAAGGCGTGCAGTGTGGATACTGCCCAGTCCAAACCCAGCACCCACGTGAACTGTACCCGGGTGGGCAGTGCCAGGCTGGCACAGAAAAAGCCTCCCGATGTAAGAGGGAATCTGACTGAACTTGCAGGCTCCCACCAGCTCTGCTCCCCTTTTCTTTGGGACAAATGAGAAGAACCTGTCTCCAAGCACAAGATTTTGGGGGTATGTGTCAGAGTAAGAGATGCCTGACAGTAAAACATCCGTCTTGCCCTGATTTCTGCCTGGGGTGCTGCAATGTCGAGTGAAATAACCTTCCAAGCTGGCTCTGGTGCAGAGGTATTTTGGCTTATGTTATTGCTGGGAGCTTTCTCTCTGATGAGCTCTTTCTGCCTCTCTCTGTTCCTGGTCTCTGGCTCTCTTCACTCTTTTTTTTCCTTGGGCTGAGATGTGTGCTGTCTGTAATGTATCAGGAAGTAATACGCAACTCTCATTATCTGTGCATCAGGGAGAGAATTATTGACTGAGTGCTGAGCAGTCAAGTTATTGATTCAAACCATAGCCCAGTCTCTCCGTCTGCCGCTTAGAGTGGCTGGTTACGTCCTTCTGGTTCATTGCATTTAATCGGATTCCCTCAGCTGCCGCGCGGAGGGGGAGAGTTAGAACCAGATCCATCTACAATGTTTGCTTCAAAATCCAGTTCCGTGTCCCCTTCTCCGTCCATGGAGCAGGCAGATTCAGATGCTCTGGACATCAGCACCAAAGTGCAGCTGTACGGCGTGCTCTGGAAGAGACCTTTCGGGAGGCAGTCAGCCAAATGGTCCAGGAGGTAAGTCACAGTTGCTGAGGGATGCTCAGGTGATATACAAAGCCTAAGGGTGCTGGGCTAAGTTAGAGCCTGAGTGTTTGGCTTTTCAAGTGCAGCTAGCTAGGCGGAGACTAAGGGTGAAACTTTGGGCATAGCTTCTGTGCTGTTCTGAGTCTGCTTTACACACATGGCATCTCATAGTGCTTCTTTATCCACCCAGCCCCTGTGCTACGTGCACATCAGGGTGGGAACAGGGACTAGCTGCCTCCTCTGGGTGATTATCCTATGATCATTTCATAAAAGAGGAAGAGTCAGCTCATATATTTTGCCCCCAAACTTTTTGACTTGGTTCATTAGCACTTGTGAAAGCTCTCTGAGTCCTTGGGCTGTGAGATGGCTAGGCTGAACTGAGGGTGCATGTGGGACTGTGTGTGTGTGTGGTCTGCAGGGGTCTGTGGGCCAGCAACAGTACTGCTGTGCTGCGTGACGGTGATGGCACGCTTGGAACAGCAAATGCAGACACTTCCCTGGGGAGGAGGGGGCTCTGAATTCTCTCCCATCTAATGCTAGCGAGTTGTAAGCTGCTGTGTGTTGTGTATCAGCAGCCAGGAAGTTTAGACCTGGAAAGCATTTGCTATAACCTTTTACCAAGGATGGAAGTATGTTCTATAATACAGAAGTGATGGGTCAGCTTGAGGTTTAAAGTTGGTGTAGTTTCTTCATGCGAATCGCTGAATCTCCCAGGAGCGTTTTCTGCTGGTTGTCAAATGATGAGACACGACTGTTTATGGATGGGTACTCGCACAGAAACATGGTACAGCTCTTTCTCGTTGCTCACCGGGGGTAGGTGATCCAATGGATTAAGACTTCCAGCATTCCTGGATGGCTGATTAATGTCACTGCTGATAGATGTCGTTGGCAAATGATTCGGTTAGAAGACTAGTGGCCGAGAAACTTGCATTTTCACCCTACAACTGACAGCTATGTTTTGTGACCCAGGATTTGTTGTCGTGATCTGTTAAAGAAAGATAGTAGTGCTCACCTGCCTTTAGTATTTCGATATCTGCAGATGAAAAAGTCTGCCAGAAAAGCAAAGTAATGTTGTTTTCTCCCCTACCCCTCGCCTTTCCACTGGGGAAAGGCACAAATGAGTCATTAACAAAAGGCAGCACAAGAAGCCTGAGCTACCTCTGGAGCTCAAAGGCAGTTTTGTAGTCTTTGTAGCATGGTGTGTCTCAAGGCTTTTCGGAAGAATAAATTAACCTGCATGTAAGCAATGTCTGTCGGCTACCTCTGGTACTTACATTTTGTGGGTACCTTTTTTGCTGTGGTCTGCAATGTAGCCACAACACATCAAATCCATTTCTAAACCCAGCTTTCTCATTTTAGTCTGTGTAATAACCACAGTGCTGTCCGGTCTAAACCTGTGAAGATGGCATGGGCTGAAAAATAGATAAATGTTGCTTGGGAAGCAACTTTGTGCTTGTAGCCATCTTTGACATGTGTCCAGGTTTTATTCTATACTTCCTCCCCTTCTCCCCGCCCCAAAAACAATGGCCGTTTTTCACCCAGGAGAGAATTGGTGCTGTTGCTCCCTACTCAGCTCCCAAACATTGATATTTAAATGAATTATGTCTGGAAACTAATATGACTGTGTTACAGAAAAGAAGTGGACAGAATAATGGAGGGGACGGTAATTTGCCATGGAGGAGGCATTCTGAAAAGGCTTTCTTCTTCCTAATCAAAATTTCTTGCAGGCAAACGGCCCATCTCTGCTCGCTCTGTCATTATTTATTTAGTGCTGTTCTATTCCTAGAAGTCACCCCCATCTTCAGCAAGTAGTAAATATTTTAGTGACAGGAGGTGGGAAGAGATGGGGAGGTGACTGTGGGGCAGGGATGATGTGGGAGGTTAGCTGCAAGCACAGCAGCTGAGAATCCTGGGGGACCAGAGACAGGTCAGTGCGAGATGAACACAGGGAGCCTGTAGGGTTTGGAAGGAAGGGGGGGTTTTGAGTAAAAAGACTGGAACAGGAGGAATGATAAGATTTTTTTTTTAATCACAGAAGAGAATTGCCTTAAAGTAAAAAAATCTTGCATGTTGTTATAAGTTAGCAGTCATGGGGGGATAAGTAGCAATTCATCCATTCTCCTCACCTAACCCCTATGTCCAGCAAGGCACAGCTGGTCAAGTGCATTGTTTTATGAAAAGGAGAAGAGACATTTCCCACTGCAGTTAAATTAAGAGAAAAAATTGACTATTGCTAGATACAGTTGAGGATCTGATCTCTGAGCAAGGTAGATTTTGTCCTGAAATCTTGGATTACTTTTTATCTGTTTGGTATTACAGGTATTACAGTACCTTTGCTATGAAGTAATTTTGCACTGGACAATAGTGCTACTCCCTGTCCCGAGGAAAGTCTTTCCAAGCTAGGGGACATAAACCAGGATGTAACGGGAGGATTGAACACATCACACCATCAGCCATGCAGATGGGTGTGCCTGGCTGTTAAGAGATGCATGATACTTACTGACTTGATCCCATTCATTTGGCTGTAGCATCAGTGCTGCTGGAGACACTGAGGAGAAAAGCAAGTGTTTAAGGGAAGGATGGAGGCTGACTGGATAATGGATCAAGGAAAAAAGTCCAGGCATGGTGTCCAGTGCTTTGGTGATTGAAATCCCAGGTCTGAGGATTTTGCAGCAGTTGAGGATATGCAGGGAGGGATAGCAGAGCCTTGTTTTAGTCCGGGCTGGCATCCAATGGCACCTGTGAGGACAGCAAGACTTGACACGAGGCACTTGTGTCTTTCAGTCCTTTCCCCTGCCCACACAGTGGTCTGTCCTGCAGCCTAAGCATTTCTGTGCTGCCTCAGGTACTGACCGAGAGCGGGCTGGGTGCTTCTGGCACTGGATCAACGTGGCTGTGTTTATCTGCCAGGGCTGACATCTGAGCATGCTGCCTTTCAGAGCTTTATTCTGAAATGCCATTAGCAGCATCCTAGCTCCTGTCTCTCCAAGAGAAGAAGTTCTATTCCTAATGTGAATTTTCTTTCCTTGTAAAGTAATATCCTTCCAAGAGGGATGCAACCATCTTCTGAGTTTACTGGTGCTTTTGACCAGTCTAAGCTTTGGTTTGCTGCTAGAGTGGCTTTGGAAAGTCATATTCGCAGCCCTTGACTTATGGTCCTCCTCTTCCCACCAAACTGCACCCCATTCTTCCTTCCAGTTAACAATAAACAGTTTAATCTCTTCCCTACTACAAAAGTTGTACTAGTAGTGGCACCAGCCTGGCATGGAGTCTGGAATGAAATGCACAAGGTATGTACCTGCCCTGGATGTGGCACGAATGGTGTGCTGTAGCTTTGCAGGCAAGAGGTGACCCATCCTTCTCTCCTGTGAATAATCCCAGCCCCATATAGAAACGTCAGGCTCTAAACTGACTGTCACTGTTCAGATGTGAGACTTCGGGGCTAAGGAGGACAGTTCCAGGACGGCATCTGCTCAGTGGTCAACCAGAGTCAGAAAAGCAAGGTGGAACATGATGAATTGAAAAAGGTAGAGAAAAAAAACCCACAAAATATGCTTATGCCTCTGAGTAAATCCGTCAGAGATGCCAGGTTGCTGCTGGAAGAAAGGAAACACAGCACAGTTAGAAGAGGAAATTTTACCTTCTCTTGGACCTGGCTGTCGCACTGCAAAGCATGCACATACCCTTGTTTTCCAGCAGAGTGGCTACCAACAGTCACTGGATGTGGTCACAAGACAGATGGAAAGGATCACTGTGTAGGACTGGTTTCTGCTCTAAAAAACCTAGAAAGCATGCCGCTGCAGGGCAGTGCGTGTGTGTACAGCACAGGGCAGAGGAGCTGTCGAGGCAGCGGGGCTGTGAGTCAAGCAGACCGTGTGCTTCCCTCTCATCCTTGTAAACTTCCCACTTGGCTGGTTGCTGTCAGGAAGCATCCACCTCTTCCCGCTCCCTGCTGGGCTCTGCTCCAGCTGCCAGGCGCCAGGGCAGGAGGCAGGCAGGAAAGCCTTGGAGCTGTCAGGAGGGGAAGAGTGAGGGACGGGTACTGCGGTCTCTGAGCTGATGTGCTGATAAAGATCATTTGCCCATCGTTTTCCTGAGCCTGTCCCCAAGGAGAGAGAACTGGGCTGATCTAGTAAGTGGGATTTGCTGCATGTGCTCCTGGACTGGTGCCCAGAAAACCACCATTGGAAGGAAGGACCAGTAAGACTGCTGCAGTTTTATAATGTAAATACTTAACGTGAGCCATTGGCACTTCAAAAACTTTTACAAAGATTAGCTATATAATCTCATTAGCCCTCTGTGAGACAAAGAAAGCACTTCATCCCCAGAGATCAGGTATCTCTGCTTGGCCAGTATAGAGCTGTTCTGTCTAATCCTGGCAGATCACATCTCTGGTTTTACATCCAAGTCGCTCAGATTGTTACGGTTCCTCTGCTCTTCCAGTTTAATTACACTGCAGTTTCAGTGGGGTTTTTTTAGTGTGGGATCCAGCAACAGAGGATGGGTGACCCAAAGGAGTTGACCATGTGTGAATGGCTCTTGTGTCACTTGTGCTGCATGTGGAGTGTGCGTGGTTGTACCAGGTTTTCGCACCTCTCACCTTTGCTGCTGCTCTCCAGGCTTTTTGAATGATGCTCTATTTTTAAATCCCTTATTTTTTGGTTTCTTGTTTGTATTGAAAGTCTTCCTCTCTCTTTCCAGCACTCCCTTTTTCTTCTGCTGGCACATCTGTGCCTAATTCAGATATGTCCTCAGTGTCTCCAGCCCCCCAGTCCTAACTGGGTGTCTCCCCCCCATTCTCCCTTGGCCATCTTTTCCCTTTCTGCCCTTTACTCACCTGGCTGCTGCTTCAGCCCTCAAGTTGCTTTTGAGTGTTGTAACTCTTTCTCTTCTACTCCTTCACTTCATCCCTCTTTCCATTGTGCTGCACCAGTTATCCTTGTATTGTTCTATGGAGGCTTTGTCCTGAAAGTGGTGATCTTGGTTGCTTAGGTGTTATCTTCCAGGCAAGGATAGATGAGGAAATATGATCTGAGCATAAATACGTTATGTCCATCAGCTAACCGCATTTTCAATGTTTTTCCTTCATTAATTGCTGTGGGGGTTTGTTGTTATTATTTTTTAAACTCTTACTTTGTACGTTTTCATTCCAAATCCCCACAGATTCTCTCCACATCTGTGAGGTCAGGGATCCAAAAGTTCATTAATCTGCCAGAAGCACATCAGTTCTGAGGGATCTGTGCTATACTGTGTTCTTGTTTTGGTTTGCACTGGAGCATAATCTATAATATGGGGATTATCAGGAGCACTGAGCAGACAAAAAGTATGTAACAAACTAAAGCCTGGCTCTAACTGGCGGATGATATTTAGATTAAAAATCACACGTTGTTAAAGATCAGTATTTTTACCTGTCTTGCAAATGTTTCTCAAGGTTGTTCAGACTGAAAAGACTGTTGAAAGCAATGAATAGACTTTCTCCATTTCATGTGGTGTGTTCTTTTTTATTCCTTAGTTTCATATTTGTGCCCACAATATCTGATTCACTCTGACACACTGGAACAACCACAGGCCATTGGCCAGGCAGGATTTTTCTTTAGAGGTAATGTCCCTCTCAAAAATCAAGTCCTCATTGAACTAAGCATTAGAGACATAAAGTGAAGATGCAGCTACTCATGAGAAAACTTTCTTATAGAGTTAATGACAAGAAGTGGGAGGAAAAATGAAACAGGAAGGCACAAGGTTGCGGCTCATAGAAGTGATGTGGACAGGAGGAACCAGAAACAAGCCCTGTCTGCTCTGTGGAGGCCTCTCTGATACCTGCCTTGGCCAGGGTCAGCTCTGAGCCTGCTGCAGGGGTCGTGGCTGCCTTTGCCATTAATGCAAATATATCTGAAAACACCAGTCCTTGTTTCACGCAGAGGCGAGACCTTGATGAATCTACTCTATCGATAATGTGTCCCACAGACATGTGCCTAATGCATCTGCTAAATGGATCAGCGTCTCAAAGTTGTGTGAGCAGTTCAGCCCCTCACCTTCTTTGGGATGCTCCTTCCCATCCCTGCCTACTGTCATGAGAAAACTGTTCTGGTCCCTGATCTGTGACACTAGCAAGAGATTTAGGATGGTGATTCCCATCCCAAGGAAAGCAAGTTGTGCCCCATGGACAGTCCATCTCCCTGTCCATCTTAGTCACCTGTTACTGAGACAGTATGGACAGGACAGCCACCAAAGGTGGGGTCACACGTTGCTTTCCCCGCTGAGGGGACGTTCGATGCAGCTCCTCTGGGAGGTGTGCTGGGGCACGAGCTCAGGCTGGAAATGAGATTGTCCTCTGGGTGGAAGGTGAATCGTAATTGCTCCTGCTCGGATAACTTGCTGGACAGGCTGCACTGTGAACGAGCATCTTCTTGGTCTCTTCCAACTAAATGAGCTCGGTGCAGAAGTGTGATGTTTGCACTGAGTCGTGCTGTTCTGCTTAGAGAGATTTCGCCACGCTGTGGTCAGGAACAAGAGGTGAGGTTAGGCAGTCAACCGCAATGTTCCCAGAGTATCAAATCAGAAGACAGTGTCCTGCTGAGGAAGCAAGCTGGCTTCTTCTCCCCACCTCTGATGGCAACATGAATAAGTATCGATGAGTGGGCAAGGAGAAGAAAAAATTTTGGACACAATAATTGCTGCTGGTGTTTGTACATTCTGAAGATTTCTGGATGTAAATATGCACATGTTAAATGACTATCACTTTTAAACATTTTGGAGCAGGCGCACAGTAGGTCCAGAGCTCGACCTTGCTGCAGAAATTCAGAAGGTTAGCTTTGTTCTGTGTTTTTTGGTCCCTTCGTGAGCCCATGGCTTGTGTTTCCATGGCATGTGGCAATTTCATCTGTGTTGCCAGAGCTACAGCAGAAAAGAAAGAGGCAGGAGCTGGTGGAAGTTGTAAAGCTTTGTCCTGAGTATAATAATGATAACTATTATTAAGAATATATTATAGTGATCTATATTATTTTATTATTACGGTAATTGTCCACCAGCTTCGACTTCTTTCTTTAGCTTTAGGAACTAAACTGATACCAAGTGGCTGTGCTCGTCTGTGCTGGAGGCAGTGCTCGGCTCCGTTTGACAAGCCCTCTGCTTCAGGAGAGGACTGGGGTGGGATGGGCACGTGGAGGAATTAGAATTGCTGTTGTGGGTCAGACCTCTCGGCCTGTACCCCATCACCAATGGTGGCTTCAGAGGAAGGTACAGGGATCCCCAGGCTGCACAACTGGAAAGTGCTGCTCGGAGAAGTCTCTTCCTGATCCCTCTCAGCGGAGCCTTTCTGCCCAGAAGCAGGAGGGTTGCCTGGCGATGTTCTCATTATTCACAGAAATGCCTTATCCTTTCCAGACTCCTCATGAGCTCTTGTCCTCGGGACCACATGAAAGTGATTTACACAGCAGTGTTTTGTGCAGTGGAAAAAGGCATTCTTTATTAATTTTCAGCTTATTGCCTTTCACTTTCTTTCCAAATTCCTCTTTTCTCATATCAGAAAATAAGTACAGAACAGTGCTACATGTTTTCTTTGTCACTTATTCTTTTGAAACCTCTCTACTAAACTTGTTCTCATTTTTTCAGTTGCTCTTCAGCATTTTTGAGTGTGTTTTTAGACCAAATTTCAGCTAAGTCAGATATCTCGCCTATGTACCACTGCCTGCAGGGTAAATGCAACCTCAATTTTTGAAAAGAAGAGGGACTCTCCCAGGGGCATTTTGAACATCCAAATAAGCTAAAAGTGGCACTCCTTTAATCAAAATTTTGAGGCATGATCCAGTAAATTTGAGGCTTGATTTACAGAAGCTGTGATATTTTCTGGCTACTCTACGGTGTAAATCAGAGCATACCTAAGGCTAAGTGAGCAGAACAAGGCACATTTTAATGTGACATATAGGAGTCAAAAAAAAAAAAAACCAAAACCCTGATTTCCTTTGTATTTACAAAGGTCAATGACAGGAGGCTTTGCCAGGAGCTCTGCTTTAAAATATAGCTGAAATTTATTTCTGCTCCTGAGTGTTCTTGTGGCCAATCTTTTGCCTCGAGAGTCACTTGGGGATGCCAGCCTGTGACTCTCCCTGCCATATGACCCAGTGTTACAGTGGAAACACTTCACTTCTGGCTTATGCCGAGATGGGAGGAAAGAGGGTGGCAGGGAGCAGGTTGCAAAAATAAGCTTTTAGTTGCTCTTAGCCCATGTGAGAGAGAACCTTTAAAAAAGAGCAGCTCTCTTCCAATAGGTTGAATCCAACGCATGGGCTAGATAGAGTGTGCACAGGTCAAGGTGCCTCAAGGCTTTGGCTGTGCTCCTGTTCTGGGTGCAGACTGCCGTCCCGTTGCCCGGTGAGTGAATGGTGCCGTGGTTTGCCTTCAGCACTGGTGTGTGCATGCTGTGGCAAACTGCAAGCACAAGGCACTTGAACTTGGCACTTGGCGTTAAGCACTAGCTCTTGGCTATGGGCAGAAGTGAGGCACCTCACCTTAGGCTTAGATGAGAATAGTAAAGTCTTCTGCTCAGACAGCAGCTTTAGTTAGGTGGAGTTTTCTTGTGCTGTGAACCACGACTTCTGTTCTAGCAGAATTTATTTCCTTTCTCTGTCTTAAAGGTTCTTCATCATTAAGGAGAGTTTCCTGCTTTACTATGCTGAGAGCGAGAAGAAGAGTTTTGAAAGCAATAAATACTTCAATATCCACCCCAAGGTGAGCAGCGTTTGCATGGGAGAGGGGGTTGTTCTGTTTCTAGCTTCACCTGCCTCCGCGGGCCCAGCAAGTGAAGACGAGGTAAGTCACAAACTTCTCACAGATCCAGGGAAGCCTCAAAAAATGCAAGAATCATGTCAGTACCTCTTCAGGCTCCTTAATGATCAGCAGGTACATGACTACTTTTTTTTTTTTTTTTTTTTACCTGGTAGTAGACATATTCCCTTGTTTTCATGATCTCCTAGTCAACTAATCTTGTGGCTATGAGAATACTGTTGGCAAAGCCAGTGGTGGGGCTAACAGCTTTGGTTGATGGTTGTTCCTAACCCATACTTACACTCGTAGGCAGTCGCAGCCAGCCCCTGCTAACCCGTGTGCCCTCGGCCCCGACGAGCAGCCCCCATAGCTCTGCTGCCGGGAGCTCTTACAGGGGATGGACTCTGTGCTCTGGGTCTGCTTTTATCCTCTGTAATCACCGGAGGCTGATGAGGCACATGTGCTTCCAAAGGTGCTGATTTCACCCGGCCTGGTTAGGGCCAACCACCCATCCGTCCCCACACAGCACTTGTGGGGTGTTGACTTCCTGGTGGTGACTCTAATGGATGCACAACCTCTCTCATGGTACCACGATGTGAATTTGCAACGTTTGCCCTTGTTGGGACATCACCTCCTCCTTGATAAAAGAGCTCCCGCTTCCGTGTTCTAGCAAGCAGCCTTTCCTCCGAGCCGAATGCAGGAGAGCCATCTCTACCCCCTTTCAGAAACCACTTGGTGGCCTCCTGGGGGTGGTGGGAGTCCCTCTGCTTTTCAGGAACGGTGTGTATTGCCCGTCCTGGGATAGCTGAGGCAGGGCAGAGGCCCACGAGTGACCAAGGGTGGAAGTTCAGCTCCCAGTTAGTTAATAGTTATACTTGATTTTGCTGACTGATTGCAGTGCTCTGATTTATCCCCAGGGTGTCATACCCCTGGGAGGCTGCATCGTGGAGCCCAAAGAAGAGCCCAACATGCCTTATGCTATAAAGATCTCTCATGAAGACTTCCACGTAAGTAGGCTTCTTTTCTTAAAAAAAATCCAAACGCCACAGAACATTTTATTGCTGATGAGTAGAGCTGCGTTGCCAGTCTTTCCCACCCCACCGAGGTATGCCTACTCTTTCTGGGCAGGCTACCCTGAGAGAGAGGGTGGCACAGCATCCCAAGTCCCCTCAAGGCTTTGCTGCTGCTCCTGCTTTGACAACCAACACGGAAACTTGCTCTTCCTGAGAGCAGCTCTTATGATACTAGCAGACCAGTAGACATTCATGTTGCCCCATCATTTTCTTCTTACCATGACCGCTTGCCACGTGCATCTCTTTCCAATTTGTGGTAGACCTGGGACATATTTGCTCCCACGCGATGCCTCCCGCAGTGGGCTCTCCTCCCACCATAGCTATGCTAGCTGTCTCCAGTTCATGCGCAGAGAGCACAGAGGCACATGAGGCACCAGCCCCTCTAATCCAGGTTTTTTTCCCCTCCCCTCCCCTCTTCTAGGGTAACATTGTTCTAGCAGCCGAATCAGAGTTTGAGCAGGCTCAGTGGCTGGAGATGCTACAGGAGTCTGGAAAAGTGTAAGCTTCTTTCTATTCCTTCTTCTCTTTGATCTGCTCTGTAGATGTGTAAAGGATAAAGAGGAAGAAGCCTGATGACTACGGGGAAGCAAACAAGCTCCCCAAGACTAGTGAGACCTTCACCTCCCTCCTGGACCCATCCTTTCCCTAAACGAGACTGCTCTGAAACTGACACAAAGCTTCCCGCCTTGGTGTGCGGTGTGATACACAGTATGACTCTTTGCTGACAACCCCAGGCTGTCATCTGTCAAATGCTGATGTACCAAGGGGCATCTGCTGTCCCTCTCTCTCCCCTCAGAGGGGTGGGACCTGGGACTGAACGGGAGCTCTCCTGGTCTAGTTTGTGTGGAAAGCAAGGTCAGCGGGCTTGACAAAGATGGGGGTCAGAAAACCTCCCTGCACTGCAGATGTATGAATTTGGGGTGAGGTAAGAGCAGAATAGGCAAGGCACAAAGCCAGCGAGCAGCTGTCCATGTGGCTCTACACCCCGCTACTGAGCAGGGACCTCACCAGCCGGAGCAGTACCGGTCGTGCCAAGATGTCGGTAACAGCCCTGAGGCAATGGTGTGACCGTGGGGTGTGCATCCCTTCTGCCTACATCCTAGGGTGCTCAGGCCACGCAGCAGTAGGATTTGGCCTCTCAAGACAATTTAATTCTGAAATGCAGAGGCAGGCTAAATCCCAGGGAAGGAGGTGTTAGCAAAGCATTTCCAGCCCACTTACAGGGGTGAGAGGGTTTGATTGCTGTATGCGTACAATATTGAGTTCATAGTCTGCTGAGAATGCAGGAGACATTTGCAGTTTGTTGGCCGCCAGCTCTGTAATCCCTCAGCATCCAGAAGCCCGACAGTACAATGAGCAGCTGTCCTGCAAAGCCAGAGCAGGCTCTTTCTAAATCTCAGGAGATGCAGGAAGAGGTAACACTTAAAGGGGGATTTGACTTTTGCAACTCCGGTAGAAAGTCCCAGAGTCTGCAGAGCAGAGCCACCTCCTCAGCTATGAGGCTTGAAGCAATGAACACTTTGCTCTGCCCTTCCTGGCTGCGTTACAACGCGTGGATGTGGCCTCTTGTGACCGTAGGGACAAAAGCTGCTCTTTCAGGCAAGTTTAACTTGTAACACCAGTATGCGCATGCATGTGTGCATGGTAAAGGCAGTATCTCTGTTAATCCCAATGCTATGAGGCTGAAAATGTTCATTTGTAATTACTGGAGAACACAGTGTCATGGTGGATCAGCCCAAGCCAAGCTCTGCGCAGCTGCAGTGAGCCTGGCTTTGGCGCTGGAGCAAGCCGTGACCTCGGTGGTACTGTATGAACAGGAACACAAGGCTGTCATTAAAGCTTCATGGGAGCCTGTGCCCCATGGGAGACAAGACCCAAGGCAAGAGGTCTGTCACCCACCCAGCACGAGCAGCCTTGGCCACGGCAGAGGAGGAGGGACCCAGATTTAGCCCTTGACTAATTCGGACTTTTTTTCTTTGATAGCACGGGTCTGCACTTGCCTTAACCAATGTTAAACTTAACTATTGCCAAATGTGGGGGCCAAATTAATCTTTCAGGTGGGTATGGGAACGGGGCTGCACAGCTCAAGAGGGGCTCTCACAAGGAATCTCCGTGCAGCTGCTTATTGCTCAGAGCCAGCCTTTTTTCTAGTGCTTGCTTCAATATTCCAGCACTAGTGTTTAAAACAGGAGCTAGATAGTGGCTGCTATCGTACAGCAGACTACCTGCACCTAGCTGAAAATCTGCCTGAGACAACCCCTTCCCTCCCCTCTCTGCTTCTGTTCTTGCATCAGAGAAGGAGAGCGATGCAGCTCCAGTGCTGGCCTGATCCCTGCTGATGGCAGCCTGCATGTCAGGAAAAGCACAGATTATGTGATTGATGTTAGCAGGGGCAGGTTGGGAGCTAAGCAGCAGCCAGAAAAGCACAGCACGGGCCAGCAAATTGGTCTGCAATGAATAGGAAAGCTAAAAGGACATAGCTGAAATCTTCTAGACAACCTGTTTCAGTGCCCTGTTGTTCCTAGATGGAGATTGTACTGCTGATAGCACTGTAGCACTTACAGTTGATCATCCTACAGTCTCCCTCATTAGTTAAAACCAACCAAAGGAGAGAGAAAAAAAAAAAAAAGAAAAAAAAAGGTACACTTTTTGTAATAACAACTCAGTCAATGCAAACCAATTATGTCTGGAAAAAGTTTGTGCAAAATTGTCCTCAATTAAAATGAACCCAGGATGGGAAACGTCCTCTCTCCTTCCTTTCAATTTTGTCTGCTGCCTCTTTACATCTGGGGCTGGGAGGGGTGTGTGTGTGTGCCTGCACAACTGCTTATTACCTCCACCATCACACTCTGCTCAGTGCTGCCTTCAGCTCTTCACTCCTTTCCGAGCCTCCTGGTTTTATAGGGAAATCACTTATTCAATATGGAGGGGAGCTGATGGTCTCTCCACCCTTCTAATGTGTTATCACACTGGCCAGATCTTGAAAGCTTTTCAGAAATGCACAAAGCCCTGACTCCCAGCCAGCCAGGCTCTCTTCCCACCCAGAGAGGCTTTTGCTGCTGCTAATGAGGGAGGGGGGCACACGTACATGCTCTATGTCCATAGCAGCATTCCCTGCACTGGTTAAAAGTAGGCTTGGTGTGCAATGCGAGGGAAAAAATGGGTAACATGGTACATATGTCCTGTGGACCATGAAGTGTCTCCAAAAATTGGTTGTGGATGCTCCTGAGAAAGGTAAAATGCAGACAAAGCTAGAGAGATGTTTCCCAGTATTGCAAAAGGACTGGAGCAGATGATGTTTGACCTGTATAGCAAATGGAGATACTATAAGGCTTTGGGTTTGGTTTTTTTTTTTCAGAAGTATATTATAGGGGTGCTTTCTACTTGTCCCAGGAGCCTTCCTGACCCTGTGCTTTCTAGTGCTTTAAGCAATGTGGCTTTTTCTGGTGAAAACTCACTTGGTAAGCAGTACAAAATAAAAAAAGCAGTTGTTTGCCCCTCAGCTGAAGTCATAGCTTGTACCTCCCCGCTGCTGTGATTACACACCGACACTGGTTCCAGCAGATAAAAGGAATAAAAGCCTAAATGCTACCCAGCGATATGGGTGCATCTTCTAAGTTATACAGCAGTGGGTATAATGACCTTTGAGTTACAGACAAGGTAACGTCTTGTTAGGCTGGGGAAGGGAGGGAGCATTGAAAAAGTGAATCTAATAAACAGACACCTTAAAGGCTACAGCCATTTTGAAACCCCCCAATAATCATATGATAAACTCTGTCGTCCCCCCAGCCCTCCCCTTGAGCTGTTTGCTGTTGGTTTCTCTGGGATCAGATTCATCCTGTATCAGAGAACGTTAGTGGAAAAACACATTCACACCCACATGTTCTCACTCAAGATGAAGATGTCTACCTGTGGGCAAAACATCACCTTTTTAATTAGCATTCTAATTTCCTCTGCACTTTAGAAATATCCTAGATGCACATTAGCTGAAAAGAAACCCAGCTGTCTGCAAAGAGCACAAGGCAGTACTTGGGCTGCTGGAGCTGCGAGCTGCCTGGTCCCTGGGGTGATGTGTGTTTAATATATTTGTCTGGCTTTTGTAAGAGACAAAGTACAGGTTGCCTTGAAATTGTTTTATAAGAGGTTGCCAACTTAACAGTTTCCGAAAAGCTACAATTTCAAACGGCTCACAAAGAGGCCTGATACAGGAAGGCTTACAGGTATTTAATATTAATGAGCTCCCTTAAGATTTAACAAAGATAGTTGTTTCTGCATGTGCATCTATATAAATAGATTGGGATGAATTTTATGCATGTATTTTGTATGTGTAGATTTTTTTTTTTTTTCCTAATGGAACATGAATAGAAGTGAGCAGCAAGCTCCATTTCTCTTTTTGATTTGTATGTCTGTGTCCTTGGTATTTAATATCTGTATTAAAGCCCACCCTGTCTATCAACTCCACCAGTAATGAGCATCTGCCCGACAGGCCTTTTTTGCAGCTTAGTTTCATAATGTGTTCAAGAGACCTTGAGATCCTCTGGCCAATGGTCCTACAATAACACAAGGTACTCTTTGAATATGCCTGCTTCCTTTAACTCTCCCTTCTTGCCAGCATCTTGTCTGGCTTTTAGCTCTAGCTCTTCGTTGTTTTTACAGGGAGCGGCACTTAACTCATAGTGTCAGGCCAGACACCAAATCCTAGTGCCTTACAAGTTTAGCAGAGGAGGGATTGATTGGTTCCAGGAGGGATGATGGATACCAGAAAGGCTGAAGATAGAAGGCTGTGGGAAGGAGGAGTCAATAAACGGTTAATGTTTGAAGGGGAAGAGTGGCTACAGCAGCAAAATATTGGAAAGGCTGCAGAAGAGAATGTCACTGGCAGATGGGAGGTTAGTTGAGTTAAAAGCTAAAATCTGGTTCTAAAGTCTGTCAGGATCCATTGAATGGGTTCCAGGTACATCCTGTGCAGTTGGAAGCTGTGCATGTGCTGGGTTGGTCTGAAGAGCCCGTAGGACTAAAGCTCAGTGTAGAAATCTCGAAAACACTGGAAAAAACATTTGAATAGCTGTGTGGTGTTGATGTACGGCTCCTGTATTTAAAAAACAAAACAAAAAAAAACAAACAAAAAAACCCAACCCCCCAAAAAAACAAAAAGAAAACCCCCAAAATTACTGAATGTCAGGGAAATTTCTCCAATTAATCTGTGGAGATAAATTTAAAGATTCATTGTCCCAACCGATGAGAGTCTGTGTGCTTTAATTCCTTGGTAGATTGCTAGGCTGAGTCCCTCGCCTCATTCTGTGGGACCCTTAGCTCTCTTACATTGTCTGCTTTGTGTCTGCTCTCCCTAGGACCTGGAAGAATGCCCAGCTGGGAGAAGCCATGATTGAGAGCTTGGAAGCCCAAGGACTGCAGCTGGCCAAGGAGAAACAGGAGTATTTAGGTAGGAAACTCTTACTTCCAAAAGCCATAAACCCCAGAATAGTAATTTTGCTTTTCTGAAGTTTTCAGTGTGGTCAAGCCAAGCAGCTACAGGTTTTTACTGTTGACTTCTACTGGATGAAGCTTTTGAGTAGTCAGCAGCTTGAAATTCAGGTTTTTAAGGGAGACAAAACATGAAAATGTTAAGGTAGGATGTGGACATCCGTGCGGAGTGTGAAAGGAAGAACATGCTTTGGCCAGCACGCTGCAGCCCCTGATGGCTGGGCTGTACTCATGTTTGCTGACCCTGAGAAGTTTGGATGTGCTGATTTCAGCTGCTCACCAGGCAAACGGCCAATACCTTTGTCTCCCTGAATCACACGGGAATGGTATTTCTGAGGCTGACCACAGCTTTTCATGCATGAGTTTTCCACCTCTAGCTGTTTTTTTGGGTCTTACTCTACTCGGTCTTCGTCTGCATTTGCTCACACTGTTCATATTGGAAGTGGGAGTATTTACATGGGCTTGTTTGAGGTGTCTAATGGAGAGAGAGCAGTTATTCCAAATGAACGTAGAATAATTCAGATTGGAAGAGACAGCTGGAGGTTATCTATTCCAGTCTCCTACTCAGAAACCAGCTTCTGGATGGTGGTACCACGGGTGTTCTGACTGCCTTGGGAGGTCCAGCTGCCTCTTCCCCACATTGCCTATGGCAAGAGCCGAAGGAGAGTAGCCTTTGTAACCCAGATGCTTCCTAAGTTAGAGCATTCCCGGAGGTGTAAGATCCCTTCTAACCTGGGGGCTGCCGGTCACATGTGTGAGCCCAGTGACTCGTCTGGACAGTCATCGGCTTTAAACAAGCTAGTAGCAACTTTGGGTACTTCAGGTTGGTGTTGCTCGTGGTGTCTACTCCTAATCATCAAGCCACTGGAGGAATCTTGAAGAACCTTTTGCTTTTCTGCATCTATGCTGATCAGGGTGTGGTCTCAGTATCTGGTTTCACAGTGGTCATAATTCAAGTATCAAGACGTGTTCGTTCTGGCCATCTAAGTGCCATTCACACATGTGAGCTGATGGATGGGCTTGTACGTGAGGCAGGCAGGGAGGAGTGGTTCCACACCTGACAAAGGGATAACAGGGAGTGCTGAGAGGAAGCCCTGGAGAGACAGGAGGAAAATTAGAAACAGGAAAGTTTTGTCAAAATGTTATTTTGCAGCCACCAGAGCTGACTAAAGAGGTCCACAGTATGATAAAAGACAAGGTGATGGAGGAATAGAGGAATACACGTTCTGAGACAAACAAGAGATATTTGGAATATAAAATATATATTTCACTGGGTTCTTTGGTCCATGACAAGAACATTCAGAGCTGGTCAATTGTCATAGTTGGTTACTTTCTTTTGACAGCAATTTTCTATTTATTCCTATATTAACTGCTGAGGCTTCTGCCTCACTAGCCTTACCTTCAATGATCTGTGTCCATCCTGTAGTTAAGCTCTGAGGTCAGGCACTGCTCCTGGCAGCAGGTCAAGGCTCTCTGGAAGAAGCAAACGCTGCTCTGGGGAATTCCCTGAATCCCCCCTGAGTTACCTTCCACCTGTCCCCCACCCAGCTGGGGTCCAGGTTTCTCTCCCAGGCAGGGATTTTGCAGAAGCTCATCAAATCCTGAGCTTGCCCCCCGCCCCGAGGTGGGGCAGAAGAGGGAAGGTGGGAGAGCATCTGTGTAATTACAGTGCAGCTGTGCTGGGTCCTGGTAAGGAGGAAGAGGGTGCGAGTGGGAAGGGAAGAAAGCAGCAGTGGTGGTCAGCAGAGCTTTGGTAATATAACAGTATTGCTCTGGCACCAGGAGCCCTGCTGTGGGCAGGAGGCAGAGGTCTGCATTCCTCCTCACAGTAGTAATCCACCAGCAGCAGTAATCTCTTCAGGTTCCCCGTACAAAGGAAAGCGGTAGCATCCTCCTCGCCTGATATGGGGAAGACTTAATCATAAAGTGCTCCAGTGCATGTGCCCCTGCTCACAGAGCAGCCAGGTGGCAGAGCTGAAAGCGAAAGCCTAGGCTTAACTATGAGGAATGTGTTTCTGTCTATTTTCCTGTAAGCACGACTAAGGGCGGTCTAAGGCAGAGCCTCTGTTTAAGGTTAGAGCATAGCGCGACCTAGGTACATCAGGTCACAGTGTAGGGATCAGAGCAGAGTCTCTGGTGGGCACGCGTCCTTCTCAGTAGACAAGAACCACTGATGTTGAAGGGAACCATTCTTAACAGCTAAAAGTTTTGTGGCTAAGTTAGGCGATGGATTTCTGGGCTTGGCTGGGACATTCCAAGGTGAAAATAGGGAGCTGGCAGGGACCAGGGGGGCTGAAGGAGAGGGCGATGTGTTAGGCGGGTAGGGATGGGGCACTGAGCTGCGGGAGGAGAACTGACTTTGTGCACCCACTTAACCTCTCTGTGCCTTTGCTTCCTCATGGGTGAAGCAGAGATAAGAATATTTTCCTGACTCAGCTCCAGGATTGCGAAGGTTAGTTCATTAAGAATGCTTTAAGAACATGGAGAGGAAACCTTAGAAGGAGTACACAGCCATATGGTTGTTTAGTTTATTAAGTTATTTGGCAGGAGGGAAATTATAGAACATCCCATTAGTGTCATCTCAGCCTTTGGAGCCTCCCAGTCAGAAACACGCAGAGCAATAGGGAATGCTGCATTTCCAAGCTTCGAACAGTCAGTGTTTCATGCTCAAAATATCCCCAGGATATAAATTGCTTTTCTCTGCATTTGGCCTTTGTGTGTGTGTGTTTGCAGATAAGCTAATGGAAGAAACAGAAGAGCTGTGTTTGCAGAGGGAGCAAAAAGAGGTGAGTGTTCCTTGCAAGCCAATTTCCTTCACCTTCCATGTGGCAGGACTGGGAGGTTGGGAGTTGTTGGTTTGAAGGCATGTCAGGGCTCAGGGAGGGAGGCTGTGGAGCCAAGAGTGTCTCCGGCCAACCTCTGGGTCCTGTGGATGAAGAGAGGAGTAAGAGCTGTGCCATGGGATGGGTCCTGGAGGTGTACTCCTGCTCCCCTTCCCAGGCACTTTCCATGCAGCATCCTTGTGATTATGCCTCCAGGAGGACCAGGGAGGAAGATCAGATTAAATTCATATTCACTGGGTTGAATTATACACTTGTTATTTGGCAGATTCAAGAAGACTGTGTCAATCAACTTGTCTGTCTTCACAGCTAGGGAGCAAATAAACAGACCTGACATTGTTCTAGCATAGAGGTACACTTGTGAGAAACAAGGAGCAGAAAAAGCAATGTGGTTTGTTCTTTGGACACACCAGAAATGGGGAGGAATAATAAACATTGCACTAGGGAAAACTCAAGAGCGTACTCCCTTTGATATGACTATTATACCTTAATTTATCAAGTTTATTATTGTTTTCCAAACTATTCCTAACTTAGATTTGCTTAGTATAATAAAAGTAGCTCATTCTTGTATTTACACCAAATCTATACCAGTTTTTATAGCACCATCATAAAGTTATTGCAAGATAGCTTTGCAAATATGTTGTCCTATCACACAGTAGGAAAGCCTGCATGGATGCAGACCACCATACTGCAGTCTTGCAAACTGCCGCATGCTCTTTCCTGATTAATCCGAAATGGCTGTTGCCCTTCTTTAGCAAAAGATGGCAATGCTGACCTAAGCTTCTCAGGCCTATGTTTCTGAAGTCCAAAGGTGGCCTGGACACTCCTGTAGGGCTAAGCTACTTCTGCCTTTGCAGGGAGACATCCCTTTCTGGTGAGGTGGCCTGCTGCACAACTCACAGCAGCAGGGAGGGAGATGCCCTTCTCTAAAGACCTTGGAACAAATCTCTGGTCTTACAAAGCTGTGCGTGGTATCTCCACAGTCCACAAAGAGCAGATGGGGCCAGGTTAGTTTGAAGGAGTTTGGTACTGATGAAGAAATTAATGTATAGCTCACTGAGCTGTGGCAGTCTGACCTGCTGTGAGCCTCAAGGCTTCAGAGCAGTATGTTGGGAAAGCAGCTTGAACCATGTATTTGCACCCTCGAGCAAGAGTCTTATGATGAATTTATCTGGCGTCAGTGCTGTTTTGTGACCTGCCTGGGCCTGCAGCAGGAGTTCTGCCTAGCAGCCAAGGCTGCAAGGGGACCTGACCGGGAGTGGGACCCTCGCTGTACATTGTCCCTGTCTCTCTCCATCTGCAGTAGGTCTCGGTACCACTGCTTCCTCTAGACCAGGGGAAGAGACTGTTTCACTGCTTGAGGATAGCTTGTGGTGTTCAGTGGTCTTTAAACATGGCTTTATTAGCACAAAGATAGCGACAGGCTGATTAAACTGTGCAAAGCTGTAACCGTGCAGTTGATGTTTTCCTGTCCCGGTGGGGATGAGATGTAAGGCTGAGCTAGTAGAAATATCACACTTCAGGGGCAGCAGGGCTGGAGCTGTCACATCCCTGTCCGGGCTTTCCGTACCTGTACATGCATGTTGAGCCCAGCCTTCCTAGGGAGCTTTGGACCTTCTGTATACGTGCAGCAGAACTGATCTGTGCAGGGAGCATGTCTGGGATTTCCAGGTGCCTGATAACCTGGCGGGGACTTCTGGATGTCTGCAGATCCTCAGCCAACCTTCAAACCCTTCTAACTGCGCCTGGACAAAAGTGTGGTGAATCGGACACCCCGTGGCTCTACATAGGTCAGGTTAAAAGTCCCAGGCATCGTTAACAGGGAAGCCTTTCCTAACTGTAAGTGTGTCAGCAGAGTACATTCCTGTCTTCTCTTTCGGTCCAGGAACTCGAGCGTCTGAACCAGGTCCTGGAAGCAGAGAAGCACCAGTTTGAAGAGGTGGTGCGGGAGCTGCGGCTGGAGCAGGAACAGATCAGACGGTAAGGTGGCAAACTGGGCAGGGCAGGAGAAGGACACGAAATCCCACGCTGGGCAGAAGTGCTGCTGAGGTGGTGAATCAAAAGAGTTCGTAAAATCCACCTCTTTTGTGTATGTAGGAAGAAGATAAATGCTATACTGACCAAAACAGGACCGGTTGAGATCTGTTTACCTGCATTTGCTATCACTTGTCTGACCAATAGAATACAGCTTAGTTTCATTTTGCGTCAGGGCTCCAGTAACTTAATTTTCAAAGGGCTGGGACGTGAGCAAACCCCAGATTATCAGAGTAGCTTTGCAACGGACAGCTAGAGGATTTCAGGGAGGCAATTAGTTTGACTGACTGACCAGACATGTGCGCTCCAGATACCTGAATATGGTTTTCCACCATCAGCTCAATGACACTGGGTGGATGATGAAGTTGCCTCACCGAGAATAATTTTGTCATTTTAAGAGTTACACTATGCAAAATATGAACAGCAAATGTATTTAGAAAGGGAAGGATCCAATTGCTTTGCGCTGACTGTTGAAAGGGCATGTGTTGCCGTTGCCCTTTTTAAATTTTTTTTCTCCCTAAATAACATCTCAGAAAAGCCAGCGTGATTTTGCAAACCATTTTTGTTTTCATAGACCTACATCTGCTTAGATATGACTGCCCTGTCTGAGCTCTTCCAGTTGCAACCATGGCCCTGCTCTTGTTAGAGAAGCACACCAACTGTTGGTTTTGGTTTGACGATCAGGGGGCACAGTCAAGTTCCTGGATGCCCGTAGTGTGTTCAAGGCGTGATGCTTCCTGGCAAGCTCCTGACTCTCCAGGGCTGCCTGTACCAGCCACTGGTTGGAGGTCCTGCACCAAGAGATCCACAGCCTGCACAGTCTGAGCGCGGTCTGTGGGGCTAGTGTTACCCTGCAATAGCTATCACCCTTTTTGCTTCTTTAGGGAGCTAGAGCTCACAGCCCACTCCCTTAAAGGAGTGGAGGAAGAAAAGAAAGAGTTGGGAAGCCTGACACAGTCCTTACAGAAAACCCTAGAGGTGAGTGACCACTTCTCCCCTCTCAGTGACAGCATTTTGGGAATGATCCATGAGAACTGACCAGGGCTGAAAGCAATGCTGTCCCGTGGAATGAATCTAACATCCGCTCGTGCTGGAGTTAAGTCCTGCGCGGATGAGCGGGTTCATTCAGTAACTGATATAAAGGCCAAAAGCCCCTGCAGAAAAGGACTAGAAGTGACAGCAGAACCAAACTTTTCTCAGAAGTGCCAGGTGATGTGATGTAGGATAATAACCATAACTTGCAGTTTGGGAAGCTCAGGTTGAACACTAGGGAGAGACTTTTCACCAGACAGGTAGACAGGCAGTGGGAGAGGCTGAGGAACCTCCGTCTTGGAAGGTTTTCACAACTCAACTGTAGAAAGCCACAGCTGACCGTATCTTGCTGTGTTGACAGACCAACTCTGAACAGGAGGCTGGACTAGAGCCTAACAGAGGGTCCCTTCCAGCCAGCGTGGCCCATAAGTCTGTGATAGCTTTCTGATTTTTTTTTTTTTTAACTACAACTCTCTAAGTCCTGGTGGAAACTGGACTAGCAGAAAGGCATTTCTTGTTCACAGAAGGAAGCATGGTTCCCAGAGAATCATGTACCACATGGGAATTTAGGAAACGGAGTGTTGATGTATTAACCCCTTTCCTTACTTGGTATCGCTCTGGTGGATTGTTGGAAAATGGCTTTTCTAAATGTGTATTCTTTGTGAAACTTCCACACAGCTGGCCTTCTGAAGCCTCAATGTCATCCTTAATGTTTGTGTCAGATCCTGCAAATTTGTCAAAAAATCTGTTGCTGATGTTCCTTTCAGCTCTTCTGCTTGCCCGCAGTTATGAGTATGAAAAAAAAAATCAACCTGGAAAACTAGGGAAGGACCATTCATGCCCTAGTTGCACATCAGACCGAACGCTTCACAGGAAAACAGCATGATATGTCCTATTGCCCTGCAGTTAGAAGTACCAAAGAGGGGCTGTCTCTAGCTCACACTGAGGAGCAAGGTGAGGAGGAGGAAAGGCAGGGAAGCTGCCTGCATCGGTGATGCACTAGGGAAGCACAAGGCTGCAGTCCCTGAGCTGGGTCCTTGCTAGCATGCCAGGTCAAAGGAGCCTGCAGGCTCTTCACCTCCATACACAGCAAAGGTTATGGTGGAGGCTTGCTCCTCATGAGGCAGGTACAGAATGAAAACCAGATTTCGTTATTCCTGTTTTTAACTTCAGTGAGGCTTGTCAGTGTAAGGATGGAGGGACTCAACAAGGAGGAGCCAGGCAGGAACAGGAGCAGAAATATTAGTCTTAGTTGATACTCACAATCTCTGCCCTTCTTCAAGGAGCTCTCCTTGGAAAAGCAGCAAATGTTGGAGATGCTGGAAGAAAATGAGAGCCAGCTCCCACCTCCAACGAGCCCCAGCAAGGAGCAAAGCCCCATCTGGGGACTGCACTGCAGCCTGCGACAGATCGAAGAGAAGATGCAGCAACTTCTGGAGGAGAAACTCCTGGCAGAGAAGAGGTGAAGTGGGGGCAGAGGCTCTTACGGTGGTGCCAGAGATGGGGATGTGGGACAAGATGTGATCTGGTGTGAAGGTGGTGGTGAGAAAAGAGGTAGTTTTCCCCCTCGCAGATGGGAGGCAATCAGAAAGGGTACGGCTAAATATTTCCAGGCTTAAAATTAGGATCACTTCAAAACTCTTCCCTTGTTTATCCTGAGATGTGCAGAGAGGCAAGATCTTTATAATTTCCATTCTTGGGTGCAGTACAGGGAAGAGAACACTTCTGCCCTGCTCAGGCTCAGTGGTGCCAAATGGTGTGACTATCTGCTGACTTGCTTTTTGGTTGCCAGCACAAGACAAGTCTGGAAGCTTGTCTGGTTCCCATGGCAGGAGCTCAGGTTATAAACGCTTCAGCGGGGACAGAGTGAGGCAGGGCAGCTGAACTCCTTGCTGCCGCTTGGGCCTGCTTCTTTCAAATCAGGACTTAGGCATGTGAATCCATTTGGTGTTCATGGACTTGTTCATAAGATGTGTTTGGAGCTCCTGGACCTTGACTTGGGGGTTGAGAATGTTGCACTCAAGAACTGTTCACCTGGCTTTCTCCAGCAATGCCTGTTTTATTGAGGTGAAACATAGACAGTTCTCCTGTTAGCGCCTCTTTGCTCAGGGCAGCCAGGTAGTCAAACATAACCCATCACAATACCGAGCCCCTTCCCTCCTGTGAGTTGTGCTGGAGTGGGAATGGTCGTCTTCCTTTGCTGTGCCATGCACCAGGATGAAGGAGAATGAGGAGCGGTCCCGAGCACTGGAGGAGGAGCGGGAGTTTTACTCTTCCCAGTCGCAAGCGCTGCAGAACTCACTCTCGGAGCTGACCGCGGAGAAGCAGCAGACGGAGAGAGACCTCAAGGTATCCACTGCTTATATTGCTGTCCATGGGCCCAGAGTTAGCTCATTTTCCCTTTCAATTCATCCCCTGTCAAGTGGGAGACTTGGTTTTATTTTGTTTTCATTTTGTGGTCGCAAATCTTCATTTGCTATGCTTCATATCATGGTAACGTGAAGTTGCCATGTTGTATCTATGTAGCACCACTATTTATTTTCTCATTCTGAGGCCTGATTAACCCATTCAGTAAAAGTCTTTTCATTTGCTACTGTGAAAGCATCATCTAAAGATGGAGGGAGGAAAAAAGAGTAAAAGAGAAAAGTAGACACAATCAAGAATAAAGATTATTTCAAAAAAAATCTAATATGGACATTGCAGAACTGAGCAGAAATCTTCCCTCCTCACTTGTGCTCAGAGAATCCATCTTAAGATTTGTAAATCTTCAGGAACCTCTGCATGAAGTTGGGTTCAAAAGCAGAGGAAGGCAGGTGAGGTACCAGCCCTCCTTCATTATCCCAGTAATGGAAGATACCTTAATCTCCATAAAGATTATTGGACAAAGCATGCTATTTTATTTTAATCTAAATAATGTAAAGGTTATGCTTATTATTGGCTGTTTGACACTCAACCTCCTCCTACAAATATTTTGTCCAAAAAAAATCCCAATTCTTCTTTTTCCTGAACCTCCAAGATTTTCTTATCCTTCCACTCGGCCCAACCGAAGCTAAGTTGATCCAAACTGTATTAGTTATTCTCATTTTCTAAGCCACTACTGATATTATCCTTTATTTCTAACTGTTCTTGTGTTTTGTTTCTGAAACTAAGTACTGTACACTCATTTGTGGGGGAATTGACTGCCTTTATCTCAAGTCTGTCTCAGCTGGAAAGATGTCCTCCTGTTCCTGCCCAGCTGCAAGTACTTCCATAAGCACAAATTCATGTGTGGAAATACCATCTCTGATTCCACATGGTTCATACAATGAGAAGGAAGCTGTGAAAATGAAAGTCAGAGTAAAGGAGAATTACTAAAATAACCTGGACTTCAAATTCAGATTCTGTCTGAAGATACAAGGAACAACTTTTATGTTGTCTTTCAGTATTTCTATTGGTTTTCCTTACTGTTGTCTTTTCATTTTCATCTGCTTGGTGGGTCCCTTACAGACCTTGTGAGTTAGGAGGATGGTTACTGAGATGCAAGCTGTTTTCAGCCATGCTTATTCTCTTCCTCAGGCTGAGGTGAAGGTGCGCATGGATCTGGAGAAGAGACTGAGAGAAGCTGAGGAAGCGTTGCAGAGCTTGGAGCAAGGCTTAAATTCTCTGGATTGCAACAAGGAGAAAGAGGAGAAGATGAAAGCAGATGTCAGTAACTTGAGAAGTAAGTCAGTTATCCATCCTCTCTACTGATGAGCAAGTTCTGAGAGAGGAAAAATTTCTATCCCTCTTCCCAGACATAAAAAGTTCCCAAATTAGCAAAGCTGCACATAATGTGCTCTCCCAACCCCTTGTACCTCAACCACACCTCCCTTTTGAGGAGCCAGAACATGCTATGCAGGCACTTGGTGTTTTGCCCTCAAAGGAGGGCAAAATTATCCCAGCCTTCCCTGTTGGGTGGAAGACAAACCTACGGCAGAGATGAGCAAATGTTTTCCAAAGTGTCAAACAGGGAAGCTGTGGCAGAGCTGTTAAAGCCTGACTAGGTCTGAGTTATAGAGAGTCCTCTGATTCCCCTCAAGATAATTTTTTTCTCAGCCTTGGTTTACAAGAGCATCAGCTGTTTAAGGAGGACCGTGGTTGCTGTAGCGACATGCTGGTAGGTGACCCAGCAGGTGAAGTTTGGATCCATACTTAGACCTGGATCACTGCATCAGCCCGGCACTGCTGTGCTGAGATGACTGTAGTCAGCAGGTCAGGTGTAAAAGTCAGACACTCAGGTTCCTCACAGCTTATCCCTGTTTCTTTGTTGCTGCTTTGCCTTTTTTTTTTTTTTTTATAAGATGAAGCATTACCCTAACATCTGGCTTGAGTCAGGTTTGGCAATTGACATTCACAGCTTCAACTGAGTGAAGTCTTGCTTGTTTTCCATCCTCAAGTATAGTGCAGGGGGAATCTGTTATGAAGATGCTGTATCTGTGCAGTTAAGGCTTCATTTCAGCGAAGGGTGGATATATTGGGCCAATATAGAAAAGTCAAAAAGTCCTGTGGCATTCTGAGTACTGTTACACATATCAGTATAAATATGTGTATAAATAATTTTTTTATATATGCATATTTATAATTTATATA